TAAGCAAACAGACACAGAAGGAAAATAAGTTTATTCCATCTCACCACTTGTGAAGAATTGCATACAAACATAAATTTACCAGCCATCTGGACCAGGTTTAAAATGCAAGCTTCTTTTCACAGTTGCTAAATGTTCAACAGTTTAATCTAACTTTAGCACTACAAATTTCGCCGAGACCGCGAGAAAAATTCAAACGTACCGCTTATCAAATCGGAATCTATTTTAATTCTACAATATTCAATTCAGGACCAGCGTTGGAATCCCCAACAGCACAAAACTTTACTAATCACGGCAGACGCAGCGATCAAGCCAAAATTCTCGCCCACAGCAATTCATCATTCCTCTAACTTTGTAATAAACTTGCTTTATTTTATTTATTTATCATATGCTTCGCTGTTAGGCACCACACACCAAGGGAAAGGTGTCCCTTGGAAGACTTTTTAACGGAAACTGGCTCGCATCCAAGCTACACATGGGGAAAACAAGAAAAACAACCATGCAGCCAGCCCGTTCGTCAAGATTAGAACCCCAAATCGAAATAACCAATGTTCATCGGCTTTTACCGCTCGGCAGCTGGTGGGACTAGTAATAAAATTGTTTGCCACTCAAATCTATATAAATAGTGGAACGAATGAATCTCGTTACGAAATGAGGCAGAGAGAAAATATGGAAATTAAATAATATTTCATTACTTTACTTTACTTAGACATAAATTAGACTAAAACTTATTTCTTTGCTTTGTTTTATTTTGGCTCATTTTTCTTATAGAAGCTGAGATCTTGAAGCCTTTATATAGGATTACATCCCAAATGCTCCCCCGGTTCTCCAGAAACCGATGATGAGTAAAGACACACAGCATAAAAGAAATGAACTTTCAGGTTTACTTGGAATCAGAGAGTACACTGACTACCAATAAGTATTTGTACACCTGTGATAGAAAAGAAAAACTAACTTTATTCAAAATCAATAGTTGGTAGAGCCTCCACGAGAGGTAATTAGAGCGTGGACCCTCCGGGGCATACTTTCCACAAGTCTTTGTATGACAGCTAGTGGTATTTTCTTCCACTCGGCTTGGAGAAGACGTAGAAGTTCCTTCACCGATTTTGCACGAGTAGTGCACCCCTGAATTCAGCGATGCAACTCGTCTCAGAGGTTCTCGATAGGGTTCAGGTCTGGACTCTGGGCAGGCCAGTCCATTCGATGAACTCCATTGGCACCATACCAAGCCTTTGTTAACGTCGAAACATGACAACTGGCATTGTCGTCCTGAAAGTAACAGGGGTCCAACCCGTAAAACTGCCACAACGTAGGAAGCACATCGTCATCCAAAATAGTGCAATAGGCATCGGAGTTGAGCTTACCATGAATGGGGACTCATACCAGGAAAAACACCCCCAGACCATAATTCCACCTCCGACGAACTTGATTATTGGCACAATGCATTCTGGCAGGAGATGTTCTCCAAATAGACGCCAGACCCAGACCCTGCCATCCGAACGGTAAAGGGTGAACCTTGATTCGTCACTCCAAAGAACCCGTTTCCACTGATCTACGGTCCAATTTCCATGTGCTTTGCACCCCATTAACCGAGCAGCGCGGTTGGACTTTGTGATCAAAGGCTTATGGGCAGCAGCACGACCATGAAAAACAAGGAGATGTGTTTCCTTACGGATGGTATTCATTGAAACAATACTTCCGGATGCCTGTTAAAACTCCTCGCGGATGAGGGCCATCGGTTGGGTGCGGTTCTTCCGAATTTCTCTGGACAGCACTCGTCGGTCTCTATCTCCCAGTTTCGTTGGTCTGCCAACACGGGGCACATTCCGACAGTCACCGCTTACCTTTCACTTCTTAATCACATAGGCCACTGTCGATTTTGGGTACTTCAGATCGCTAGATATGTCCCTTAAGGATCGGCCACATTTGTGATACCCGATAATTATACCTTTCTCGAAATCAGAGAGCTCCAAACTGCGAGGCATCTTACATGCGACTAAAGCCGATGCTGTTTCCTACACGATATATACCGGCGTAGTCCGTGACGTACCTTAGGATCGCAGATATCGTCATTTGCATATGTGTCCAAATGGTAAAGGATGGTGCGCACGTCCCTCGTTCCTAATCCTAATCCTAATCCTAATCCTAATCCTAATACTTCTTGGTAGTCAGTGTAGAAGAAATTATTACGTGATTTTATTCTCTAAATCTAGAAAAGTACAGGTTTTGAGAAAGTAAACGTAAAAAATTAACAGCTTTCTAGCTGATATTCGAGGCACTGATCCAGTTACCAGCTAGAATGCTAATCAGTTTATAGGAATTCTCAATTTGTGTAATTAGAAATTATCGTTGAATGTAAAGAATCTTAAGAACTGATAAGCGAATAATCGCTTGAGTTCGTGTGACAAGAAACAAGAAGATGGAAGAGTAAATAACCCTTTATTATTCAGATAAGAGTTAACAGAACTCCGTCTTGGAGTTTTACAATAAAGCCGAACGCTCGGGCTTCGAACTTAATATATTAAGAACTAAATTAAACTAAGCTAAGCTTAACTAAAGGGATATAGCCGAAGCTATCAAAAGTTTTAACGTAGTTGGCCCTTTAAACACGAGATGACTGTGAAGCTATCAAGGACGTGAGTACGGCCGAGCGTAATAACAGCTTTGAGCGAGAGTAGCCAAAAAGGCGGACGCACGCTAATCAGAAACTCTGATTCTCTCTAACTCAGCAAGTAGAACTTTGCGGTTAAATACCCTCCTTCTCATTATGTATTCAGACCTGATTCTAAAACTTTGTTCTGGCCGAAAGTAGTAAGATGAAGTTAAGAATTTGACAGGAAAGAAGTTTAACTCAAAATTTAACCGTTAATAAAATTAACATAATCCTTACAAGTTACACCAAGAAAGCACGCCATGAAGAATGCAATAATTACCACTTAAAGGCCGACTAAGAAGAAACATGATGCTCAGTCTACGAAATCTAGTTAGTGATGAGTTATCATTTAACCATACCTTAGCTCGAAATCCATTGTAAACACTTTTAGGTTTTTGGGTGGTGGGAAACTAGAGAATTAAACTGTTTTCTCGCCAGGATTCTAATCACATGGTCTTTCAGCTACAAGCTGAACGTCCTGAATATTTTTTACTATAACAGCACGCATGAGAAAGTGTGATAATTTCTTTCGATATGACATTTAAAATAATTTCAGTGTTGCATGAATCTACCTAAAAATTTAGAGAAATTTCCTCTAAAGCCTTTCCTTTCTGATGCGTAATTTTCGCATTTAACAGTTTCTTAAAATCCAGTGACCTAAATGCTTGGAATCAGCACATTTTTGTTAGATACTTTAAATAGCCAAAAGTATCAGCTAAGTAAGTTTGTTAAACTGAGCAAATAAAGCCTGGGTTTTCAGCGCTATTCACTAATTTTCCAGTTCGTAAAATTCTTGCAAGCACTTAATAACTAAATTATACTAAAAATAAACTTAAAAATCAGTTACTTGAGAAACCTTTTTCTAACACATCTTAGCAAATTAACTGCATTAATTACGGAAAAAAAGCTGTTAATTTCCATAGGATTCATTTTGCCATTAAAGTGTCAATAAATATTGGAAGAATAGAAAAAATGTTTGAACAGTGAAATAGTTTGGTTGTAGCAATAACATTTTGTAACAGCATCAATATTTGGCTGGAACATACTAAAACAAACCGTCTGAATCTTTTAGTCACTTCAGTTATAAGGTGTTTCTCCCGCCTTCCTAGCGTGCCTTCGTGGTGTAGTGGTTCTGCACACTGAGCCGGTAGTTCCAGTGGTCCGTGGTTCAATTCCCTGCGAAGGCGATTGCTAATTTTTCATCTCTTCTGGCTTCCAAAAAGAATCCTAATGTCTCTACAGGGGCGTTCGCACTAAAAGGTATTGCATGAAGATTCTCCACTTCCATTATTTGGCGATTGGGTCCCCTAAAAACCTCAGTCGCCCTTTAAAAGGGGAAGTATATAAGGCATTTCTCCCGCTTTCCTAGCGAGCCTTCGTGGTGTGGTGGTTCTGCACGCTGGGCCGGTATTCCAGACGTCTGTGGTTCGATTTCCGGTGAAGGCGATTGCTAATTTTTCAGCTCTCCGGCTTTTCCAATTAACCTAATGTCTCTACAAGGTACGTAGGGGAGTGTGTGAATACCAACATTAAAATATAGTGCCATATATAAAATGTTGCTGTTGTAACTAATCTCGCTTGTCTTATTTAAGCCCAAAATCATTCTCTCGGTTTGCAGTATATCTTGAGTGCTCTCATGGTGTACAAATCACTATACATTTACAAACATCCATGCTTTCGCCGGGATTCGAGCCCGGCCCCTTAGGTACGGCAGTGAGCGCCCGCATATGAAATAAAGTTCAGAACCGCTTGTGTTGTGTTGTCTTGAACTATAAGTTAAACTTCATGGTAATAGAAAACATCCTTAATCAAAACAGAGATTACAATCCTCTACATATTTTTTTAATAATGAAATCTGGTTTGTTGGATTATATCAGTGGGTATAAAATTTTTAACAAAACGAAGTAAAATATTTTTACAGTTTTGCGTTGTTTTATACCTGAACAAAGCACAATTTGAATATACGAGATGATTTTTCTCCTATCTAGTAGCATATCATATGTATGTAGCAATAAACATTTCTAATGTTTCTAAAAAAGATTCGATTTGTAGCTGTCATAATTAACATGCCATATATATGTTAAATAGTTTTCGTTCTTAACAAATTAAATTTTTTAATGTTTTTCGTATACTTTTTTTAATGTTTTTCGTATATTTCTTAAAAGATACTTCAAAACGACTAGCTTTATCAACGTTCCTTTAAAAAAGCAAGTACCACATATTGCGTTTTATGCTTATGAAAAAGCAAGTACCTTTTAAAATATTGCATCAGTATCACACGTAATTTTGCTTACTCCAGATAAATTGCTCTCGGTCTTCTTCTTTTTATGAGACTTCATTGTTATTATAGGTATGACTCAGTTGCCCGCTCTCATCACCAGCCTTGGCAGTACGAAAACTTGTATCTGGAGGATGATCCACTGGATCCCTACTATTCGCCTGTGGATTACTACCCCTTAGCAACGGACTCCGAAACGGATTTGGCCCCCATGCCTCTGCTGCCGGACATGCCGACCCGGTCCCGGAAACTCCTGCAGGACCTCGGCAGCTCTCCTATAGGACCCCACACTTCCACAGCTGCCTCCTCGAGACACCACCACCACTCATCCAGATCAGGTGGGACATTTTCTCTTGCTGTTTCTCTTACGTCTTCATAGCCATGCTCCATATATAAAGAGGCCAGCACCTTGCATAGATCTATTAGGATTCGCCAAGCTAATCAACTATAATCAGTAACTTCATAAGCATGCCCTTACACCTGTTCATCGCTAGTCAGCTGGAGTTTTGTTTGGTAATCTGATATAAAATTAATCCAAATCTAACATGTATGGTGATGCTTAGGTATAAGGGTGTCGGAACTTTTATGAAAGTTGATTTTTCAAGTTAAAACAGATCTTCATAAAGCTGCCTACACATTTATATTGGGCCATTGTTCTGAAAGGTCCTGTCTTAGTCAACGCTGCTGGTAACCTGCGAAAATTGCTAGCACCTTAATAACAGGGCAATATTATGCAGATGTCCTTGTTTTCAATGCTTGCTGCTGTTTTTTGTTTGTGTACACTGAAATCGAACTCGTCTACTGCGCATTTGGAAAATTCATATATTACCTAATGCTTTTAAATTCTAAATATTACATCATTTCATCGAAACCGTTGTCCCAAATCTGCTAGATTATTCAATAAAGTACATTCACATCAAATTGTACGTTTACAGCACTGTCTACACACATCAGTTTGAACGCTTACGCATCTGAAAACAAGAATGTGTACTAAGAACCACTCTTAATTCTCCATATTTGTCCTCTTTTCACTATTTTCTTTTCTCAAAACTAAAACTGCTTCTAGTAGGAACGTTTGTCACTGAAGAGATTAAAAATCGATGACATTCGCTGCTAACAGCCATGTGAAAAACGGATCTCTACAACTATTTTTTCGTTAATTGATCACATCTTCTTTTGCTTTAATGCCGAATGATCGCATTTTTCTTTGTATTGTTGCGTGTGTACGGGTTCGTTCTGAAATGAATGCACAAGTCCAGTAAAAAAATGAACAAAATTTATTATTATCACAACAAAAATACTTACATTTCCTTAGATATTCGTGCAGTATTGCAATATCTCACAGTAGTTACCTTGTAATTACTCAAACATTCAAGAGAACTTAATTCAAAACAGCTAAAGAAAGCTGATCCGCGAATTCGCTACAGTCAACAAGAGCAGTCTTCTAAACAAACTCTTGAAACAACAACAAACAAACTAACTAACTCCGAATTGAGAGGGTTTCCTCCTTTTTATAAGATTTTAAATCGCGCGCGAGAATTTTCTGGAACTTTCTCGAAATCAAAAAGAGATATATATGTATTAAATGTTAAATGCATGTGCTCTTGTATTTTTAATTTTCCGTCTTAACTTTCCTTTAATATTCGTCACGCGCTGCACTGCACGGGGAATAAAACAATTTAATTTATAATACAACTAACATTAGCTATTTAAATACCAAATCCGTAACACTGCCCCCTTGCCAAGGACTGCACGTCCCGGGCAGTACAATCTCTGGACAGGAAGCCAAACTTACAACTAAGGCATAAATGCAATAATAAACATTACATTACAATAACAAAGAACATGAGCAATAAATGCAATAATAAACATTACATTACAATAACAAAAGGACATGAACAATAAATGCAATAACTAACTAAAACAAATCAACGCTATAAAATACTAAAGACAAGTCAAATACTAAATACAAATCAAATACAAAATACAAATCTCAAAATCAAATCAAATACACATTTAGAAGCAAAAACGGACCATGGTCTTACACTATTTACAATTATTTACACTACGCACTATGGCCATAGTAATGAGCTAACCTGTCGTAATGAACGACTTTAGGTTGAGAGTTCGAAGACTTACGGATCCGAACCACGACGTCATTCAGCCTGTTTAGGACTGTGTGGAGACCATCACAAGGTGACTGTAATTGAGGCATGACTCCTTTTCGTGGAATCGGGTTCCACAACCACACTTTGTCCCCTTTGTTGAATCTATGTCCAGTAGCTCTCGCGTCGTATCTGGTCTTTGGTTTCTCCGTCGCCAAGTTGACTCGCTTTCGTGCAAAACGTTGCATCACTTCCACCCTGGACATCTTGGATGTATTCCTCAGGCGATGAAGGCGCATCCGTAGGGCGACCAAACAGGCGGTCACAAGGCAGACAAAGGTCTCGACCGAAGAGCATCTGGGATGGAATGCTGGTAGAACTTGCGTTTTTTCGACCCTAGTTATGATTTCGGCCGCTTCCGAGGTGGGTCTTCGGACAAGGCGTCGGCATTTTCAGGTGAGGATCCCTTCTGAGGATGAATAGTCATGTCATCAGATGCTGAAAGCAGTTTGTTGTTTTGGAAGCTTAAAGAAAAATTGTATTTCCTTAAAAATTCCAATCCGAGTATACATGAATCTGTAATATCCGCCACATAAGCCGTGTGATGGTAAGCGGCACTTCCAAACGTGATGCTCACGTTTCACTTCCCAGTTATGTCGATCTTATCACCAGGCGCAGTCTGAATGGTAACACAGGATGGCGTCCAAATAAGTTTATCTTTAAACTGTTGAGCTAAATCTCTCCGAATGATGGTAACATTAGCTCCTGTGTCAAAGATCATATTGCAAGGAACTCCATCGATATGCCCATTGATGTACTGTCTGGTACTGTTGCCACTCACTGTAGAAATTTTGAGCGCTTTAAAACAAGGTTTTTCATTATCTGGCAACCTCCGTTTCTCGATATCGTCACTAATTTCTTTCCTGCCTCGTTGCTGAGAAATGGTCTTATTTTCCGTACCCTGGGGTGTTCTGCAATTCCTTCGTACGAGGCCTTCAGCTCCACATTTCCAGCACTTTGGTTTCTTATCACTCCTTTTTCGTCCCATGGCATTTAATTGTCATTTCAATTTGTCGGTCTTATTTTCCGTGCTCTGTGGTGTTCTGCAGTTCCTTCGTATGTGGCCTTCAACACCGTAGTTCCAGCACTTTAGGATTGATTTCTCTTCACTTCTGTTCCGTCTCAAGCCACTCACTTGTCTGGTAAAATCATCTGTTTTATTTCCTGTACCCTGAGGTGTTCTGCAATTCCGTCATAAGTGACCTTCAGTACCAAGTTCCAACACTTTAGAGCCTGTTTCTTCTCCTTCCTTTCCTGTATCAAAGCATCGACTTTTCTTGTTAAATCATCTAAACGAGCCATCAATTGATCCACTGGCTCGCGGACTCTCACAGCTTTGACTGGGTAGCGATCTCTACAAGTTGCTTGCTGGGCTGTCTCGAATTTTATGGCGTACAACAGAATGCTTTTTATGTCCTTCACATCCACCATTCGCAGAGATTTCTGTATTTCGGAATCCCGGATGCCGTCGATGAAGTATTGCAGTGACAGGATTTCCCTTGTTTCCGTCGGACACTTCGAAAAGGAGAGATAGCACAGCCCTTCAACATCCGTGGCGAGCTCTTGAAGTCTTTCCGTTGGCTTCTGTTGACGGGATTTTAATTGAAGGCAGCTGCTGTAATATTTCAAACACTTGTCCCCCAAAGCGCCGGATAGAGCTTCATAGTCTCTGGTTTTCGGGAAGCGTCTGCAGGATATCCGCTGCGTCTGCTCTCAGAGAAGCGGCGAGATGACAGTCCTTAACTTGGGAATCCCATCCATTCGCATCCGCAACTATAGAAAATTGGGTCTTACACACTTGCCAGGATGTCTTCCCATCATATGTGGATAACTTCAAAGATGGACGAGCAAGCATCGATAAGAATTTAAAACCATCACTATTGCTTCCTGCCGTCGCTACGAATTTCTTTAAAATATCCACTTCTTTGGCTACTGCAGAAACCTCATCATCAATGTGTTGTTCGATTTGGTGTTGGACGGAAAAACTCTCCTTCAATTCTTCCCCACACAGAAACCTCTCCTTTCGTTCCCCACAGCAGAAACTCTCTTCTATTTCTCTTTCACGAAGGAAACTCTTTCTTCAATTTCACCAGCCTTTACTTTCGACCGAGTCTATTCTACCTTCTATAGCCTCGAATTTGTTTTCTATTACGCAGGTAATTTCTCTTTTCATTTCCTCTTGACCTGCTTTAACTCGTCTTTAATGGATTTCATCTCCTCTTTAACGGATTACTGTCCCGCTTTCATTTCTTCCTGTCCCGCTTTCATTTCTTCCTATCCCGCTTTCATTTCTTCTTGGCCTGCTTTGATTTCTTCTTTAAACGAGGCAACTGTCTTAGTTGTTCTTCTATCGCTCTTGTTATTGGCATTCAAATTCCCACCGCTGCACCAAAACTTGTTGCGTGAGTACGGGTTCGTTATGAAATTAATGCATAAGTCCGATGAAAAATGAACAAAATTTATTATTATCACAACAAAAATGCGTAAATTTCCTTAGATATTCGTGCAGTATTACAATATCTCACAGTAGTTATCTTTTAAACTACTCAAATGTCCAATAGAACGTAATTCAAAACAGCTAAAGAACGCTAATCCGCGAATTCGCTACAATCAACAAGAGCAGGTTTCTAAACAAACTCTAAACAACAACAAACTACTAACTAACTCCGAACTGAGATGTTTTCCTCCTTTTATAAGATTTTAAAATCACGCGCTAGAATTTTCCAGTACTTTCTCGAAATCAAAAAGAGATATTTAAGTATTAAATGTTAAATGCACGTGCTCTTGTATTTTTAATTTTTTGGCTTAGCTTTCCTTTAATATTCGTCACGCGCTGCACTGCACGGGAATTAAAACAATTTAATTTATATTCCAACTAACATTAGCTATTTAAATACCAAATCTGTAATAGTATAAATAGGTTCAATGTTTTTGTCTTCGATTTTTTAAAATACCATCTCTTAATTTAATTTCCACGTTATGCATCACAAATTCACTTATTTTAAGAAGTTTCAAAACACTCAAAGGTGTATTCATGCACATATTTAACATACATACATTTATCTGCATGTATTTATAATGATTATTTATTTATGCTCATGTATAGTATAAAATTCCACTTACTGTGATGAACTTGTACGTGCATTACATCCGCTCTCAAATTATTCTTTAAAACGATGCCATTCAATATTATGCGGAAAGCATAAAATATCTCGCACTAGATTTCCATGCAAGTCCTGCAAAAACGTCTTTGCTTGCTGAACACTTAGAAGATGCTACACTTGGCACTATTTTGATGAGGAACTGACTAGGAAATATGACAGCCAAGAAGCGCTACTAACGATAAGTTCTGAAGAAAAATATAAAGATATTATTATAATAAAGAAGATAATAAAGAAGATATTTGTATGGCTTTCCATATCACCTGAATCTTCCTGCGAGAACAAATAATAGCGGTTGAAGTTAAGAAACACTTTCAACGTTAAAATATTAACTACTATATCGCTGTTTTCACAAATACAAATGCATGATCATTAGTTTATTATTTAAAGTTTTGAAACATTTTATTGATAATTGAATATTTTGCTTTAGAAATCTCATACAAAATAGTGAAGGTTACATTTTTCTGCGAACATCAATCTATAATAACATAATTCTTTGCACATTGCCTCTCTTTAAATATGAAGGGAACTTGTTGCTAAAACGAAATTTTTAAAGGCACGATCTATGGTTTAAAAATACTTTACATAATCAAACTTACAATAATTTACAGAAATGGTTGCTTAAAACGTTCTTCTTTTCCAAGCCATTTTAGTGTTTCACACAAGGGAGAAGGGGAGGAAAAGTAATTTTTTCATTAAAACTAAAATTATTAAAAGGAGAGTTTTAACTGAAGTAAGCCATTGGAGTTTTAAGGAAAGCTACAACTATTTATGAAAATTATAAGGTATTGCAAATACAAAGTGAATTCATTAAGATTTCTGAGACATAAATACGGTACCAGAAAATGAAACACTATTATAACAATTACTGGTAGCAGAAGACGGTATTCTTTTAGTTTTTCAGACCTTAGAAGATCTTGATTCATTCGCACTTTGTAAAATGGAAAATTTTTCTTCTTGTACCCATTTCGACCTCTATTGGCTTCATCATTCCTTGATAGACTTTCTGATTTCATGACAGACAGCTTTTATAATGTGTTGTTTCAACGCTGCTGAGGCTTCGGAAAATGATTCTAAAAATCAGGTAACCATAATCGTTCCTAAACATATTAATCATATTGCGATTTAAATTAGAGGTTGGACGTGGCTACGCAGAATCAAATCAACCGCAGCAGTAGACTTAGTCCGCATATAGAGTAAGTAACTTCTTCTAAGGATGAGGATAGATTGTCCTTTAAAAACCCCGTCTAAAAACATGTGTAAGTGAGCGTCTGCTTTGAACTACTAAGTTTTGTACATTCAGCCTAAGCTAATTGCTCTAAGATTGAAAGCAATTGAAAGAGCGCAAGGCTGTAATTAGGTTGAATATGCAATGTTAAAGTAAGCGTGGTTGAACTGATTAACAGATAGAAGTTTAAAGTGTCACAATGTATGATCCGTCAAGAAGTTTTAAGATGTAAGGTATTTTTAAATTTCTCTTTGTAAAAACCACCAACCATATTATCGCGTCCCTTCCGTTTTTCTTCTGCAGTAAATCTTTAATGCCGTTGTAATTCGCCTTGCTTTAAGATTATGCTAAAGAATTTTCTATCATAGGTGTGAAAATACGATTGATGTTTCTTTTCCTCTATGTAGGTGGTGTTCCTCAGCCTTATGACGAGTACACTGACGGCCGGGGTGCCGTTGATGACCTCAGACGCTCGTCTCCTCATTCTCAGCCGTCAGGGGATCGACAGCAGTCCACCCACCTGCGAAAAGCTCAAGTAAGAACGTACGCACACTGTTCTTTACTTCAAACTTCTATTATTTATGCTTCTATTATTTGTGCATATTAATTTTACTAAGGGGAATTAAAGTGAAAGCTTTTCTCTAAACAGATGTTTATTAGGTTGGCTTAAAAAGAAACTAGAGTTAGCCTAATTTTGAACATTTTTCTGAATAAAACTTGATTTGTATCTTCTTAAAATTAAACCCATTCTGCCTTTTGCATCCTTCCCAACGCCTGCCCAACATGCCTGCTTGGAATTTCACGTAGTAGTTTATCAAACTTTCAGATTTAACTTCAATGTCATGAGTAGTTATTACAGTGAAAGAGCGAGTCATTCATAAATAACGTCAAAGTTGCTGCATTAGACTCCTTCAGATTCTTTAAGACCAAAAGTGAACTAAAAATTAAAAAAAATAAAAAAACACAGTTGATATATATATTTGTTTTCTAATGAAATTGGTTACGTAACAAGGATTTATCATTCCCTTTAGGTCATATTACCAATACAACATTTGTTGTAATTTCTTGAGGCAGTTTAATAAGGAATATATAAAACAGACCTCAACAGTGAAAGAAGGAGGCTAATTGCTTCATCATGACAGCTCAATATCCCATAATCTCCGAAGATGCGGAATTTTTTTAGGAAAGGAAATTCGGATTGTCTTCTCATTATATTGTTACCGTAATGACCAGTAGAAAGTCTACATTCAAGAGTTGATGTTTAATTCTGCAAAGCAATTTCAGTTCGAATTGCAAAGGTTCGGTGCAAATTCAGTACACATTGAAATAAAACCCTTCCTGACAGAATTCCAGTTATTGTGAATGAAGACCGCATTTAATATAAATTTGCGCTCAGAATCTCGTCGCCTTTTCCAGTTTCTTTTTGATCAACAAAGTACACAATAATCCTGCATGATATCTAAATTATTTTCTTTTAAGTAGCACACAAAATTCTCGTTCTTCTAATCTCATGCTTTTTAACAATGTAGTTAACAATTAAAGAGCTACTATGTGAAAAGAACTAAAACCCTGAGATCAATTAAATAATCAAGTGTGTTTAATCTAAAATTCTGTGATTTGTGTACCTGATGAGTTTATATAGCTCTCCTAAAGCTATCTTGCTTCGTCAAGTTAAAGGCGCAGAGTATTACTGTCTTAAATCTTTAAATTTATCACATCTAAATTTAGGATAATGAAAAAACATTTCTTTGTAGAAATCAAAATGTTAACCATCTGAAGAAAGAAATATCATAGCAGCTGCACATTCTTACAGAAAAGTCATACCACACAGAATTACTTTTGATATGTGGCGTAGTATAACTTACTAATAGGAAACTCCTAATACTTTCAGAACCTAAGTTAGTTATTACTTAAGTCCGTTGTGCATCCTTTGGCATTACATAAACTAATGCCAAACTTTACTGCTGTTTTTTGGATAATGTGTACTAAGTAAACAAAGTTTGAAAGCAGGTATGAATTACTGTAAAACAAAAAAATTACATAATTAATATAATCTTTCTTTCTCTCTCTAAATATAAGCGAAACAAAATGCGCAAGAAATGCTATAAAATCGAAACAGGCTACCATGCATTAAGATAGAGAAATCTTTTCTCCAAATAGATATCAGTTTATTATGTCAGCTTAAAAAGTAACTGATTAAAATCAACCTAATTTTGAACATTTTTCTAAACAGAACTCCATTTGTATCTTCATAAAATTAAACCCATTCTGCCTTTTGCATCATTCATAACGTTTCATGTTGGCTTTTTTCATGTAAATTTCATGTAATGGTCTATTAACGTTTGCGATTTAACATGAATTTCACCTACAGTTATCACAGTAATACCGAAGTCGCTGTATCAGACCTTGCAATGGATAATTTCAAATTCCTTAAGACCAAAGGAGAACTAGGAATGAAACAATGCATGGCTGGTATTTTTGTTTCTGATAAAATTGGTTAGGCATCAAGGATTTATCCTTCCCTTTAGATCAAGCAGTCAATGCAAAATTTGTTATTTAAATAAACTAGCAATGCAACATTTCTTATTTAATTAAATTAACAATGCAATATTTGTTATTTTAATTAATAAAAGACTAGATTAAACTATATTAGACTCATTATTGTACGTAAGGAATGTGTTTACTGACGCTTTACAAATTTATGGAGCGTTTCATTAGATTACAGTATCGTTCCAATTATCATGAAGATGACCAGCAACTATTGCCGTTACATAAGACATAATAGCTTCAATTTGTTTTAATGTGATCTGTCAAATAGTCGGTCTCCAGAATGTTGTTACTGAATGTGACATAAGAATCTTTCTAATAATAACTGCTTAAAAGCAATAAAAGCACTTGAATCATACATGCAATTATCAGCGCCTAAAATATATTTAATTTTTAATGTCTTAGTTTGATATTTATGAATGCTGCAGCATTAGTTAAATAATGAAAGATGTTTCTTATGCCATATATTACGCACCTACATCATGTATGAATAAGATTAAATTATTGACATTTTGTCAAATGCATAAATAAATGTTTCATTTTCTTTGTTTTAAATTAAGCCTATCAGATTTTAAAAGGCATATTTTTCCTAAATGTGTAATAAACTTTATAAAAAAAGTATTTATACCGACTTAAAGGTAGAACAAACACATAAATAATCTAACATGCTTTCTCAGCAGCTACTGAATTCTTTTTTTCTGCTCTGTTTGTAAATTAAGCTTGACAGCCATGACGCATTTATGCAATTTATTGAAATATCTGCAGTTGTTTAATGAAATATTCTGAAGCATTATATTTGTTTTCAGGACCCAAAAACCAGTCATAAGTACGACTTTCCTGTAAAAAGAATTTTGCTCACTAGAGATCCAAAAGACCGTTCTGTTAGTGGTAAGTTAAATACTTAATTTTTAATTTCAAATATCGTCGATTACAACACGTGTTGTGCCAGGCTTAATGCTGCATAACATGAAACGAATCTTAAGTAAAGTATATCCTGGTGTATAGCTATGAGATTTAAATAACAATATAACAACGGTGAATATTTATAGTAACTTTTGTGTTGTTGTGAAATAACAATAATAGATTCTCAACCGCTTTGAACCTTAGAGCACATTCTAGAATACCGGTAAAACGGCGGACACATTTATTTTTTAAATGTAAATTGGTTTCAAAGTTTTCAAGGTAATAGTTGCTATACATAATATATAAAAAAATATTTCAAAAATATAATTTTAAAAATATAATAAGAGGCTCTCTTCTTTTGCTAATCGCATAAGTAGTAATCCAGATAAAACAAATCTGGAAAAAGAGAAAGGCAAATAAAATCTCCAAAGCGGATAATCTCATAAAATAAAATCTCATGATTTGAAAATTGTTGGAGTACAGGAGTGTACTTATCTTTACACCGCCGTACTGAAACCCAGTTGCATCCACCAGAAGTCTTGCCTAAATTCTGGAGATCTTTATTATTCTGCCACAATACCCACTGAGCGTCACATGACAAAGCCTTTTAAATGAAAGTTTCTGTAGCCACAGTTTATAAACATACCGGCCAGCGGTCCATGGTATTCTAATATCTCGATTTTTAGCTCTTCACGGGCACATATACATGTACATCTGTATTTTCACGGATGTATATGCTTACATATATATATGTAGATGTGTACATGCATTCTCACAGGCTTCTTAATTCACACTGTTAGATAAGGCATGCAGATCCTTGTATTAAACCTAAATATTAGATTTCTGTTTTCGACTCAAATCATGTTATGAATTAAAAACATTTTATTTTCACAATAAAAGTTTCTTTCTCTCGTATCAGTAGCGGTTTCTTCATATAGAATGTTTCAGAAAAATTACACGACTAAATATCTCTTGGTATATGACTCCAGTTTCAAAAACACAGCTTTCAGTTTCTCAATAAAAATACATCTTTCAGTTTCTTAGTCTTCAGACTGCAGTTTTGGTGATGTGACAAGTTTTAGTAAACATTTACAAAACTTAAACTTTTGTATGTAATCAATAGGGATAAAATGATCTATGAGGAAAGTATTTTCTATGACAGATTTACTCAAGCAAACAAGTTGGCGAATTTTGTACCTACCAGTTTGAGTTGGAAATACTGCCAGAGCCATATACAGCATACTTATATCCTTCAAAAGGGAAGAGTCAGACAATTATTACATCATGAACCATTGGACGTTATAGTTTGCCTATTGCGAGGGTGGAAGACTTCGGTCAAACAGGCTACGTCACAGATGCTCAACGGGCGTCTGTCGGTGCAATGGCAAGCACAAGTTGCGACTGTATTCCGATAATATTACTAAATCGTCTGATTTTTTCATCTTTTCGTGATTTGACTCGGCCATTCAGCTTCCTAGACTTGACGCCTCCGGTCTACCTCCTCTGACGTCATCTAAAAAAAAGAGAATCTCTGCACATCATTTGCGGACGATCGATGAAATGGAAACTGCCATTAGGTATGAAGCTGATGCGTTTCTAGAGGACAGATGCATGCGTTTTCTATAGGACAGCTGCATCCGTTTCTATAGGAGATGTCAAGAAGCGTTACGGGAGCCTTCTTGCATAGTCATCAGCAATGCATTCCAGCAGAAGTAGCGTATTTAGAGGATATTTTATAATTTTAAGAACCATTGATGTTTTTATTGTCTATATTATATTCTGTGTTACATATCTATGTGTTCGATGTCATTTCACGATCACATAAATTTACTGAACATACTCTATTGCCATTTAAATTTGACAGATATAATGTGTGCTACTCTGCACCATCAAATTTAATTAAGCTGTTATTGCTGAAACCTCTGACGATCTTATACAAATACCCTAAAAAATAATTATATGTACTATGTTTTCGAATAAAAATTTCTAAAAATTAACTTTTCCACTAAACAAAACGCATTAATTTAAAATCACAGTTTCGTATTCTTCTCCGTGGAAATGGCGACATTTCATATTTTGTATTTAACGTGTTTAGTTTTACGCAACCGCTAAATAGTTACATTTTAACCACGTTCCTCGAAGCCTAATTTAAGTTTAAAGGATCGGGTTTTTTTTCTGAAATTCCTTTAATAAATCAAATGTTTACTAATAAGAGGTTTCTTTAAAAAAACGGCCTGTATAATTTTTTCTTTCTTTTTTTTTTAATTTTTAACTTGTTACTGAATATCTTATATTTTATGTTAGAACTTCCGCTCAAGAGAGTTCTATGCTAGTCTTAGCCTTTCCTTATCTTATTAGACTGGAAATATTCCCTCGAATTTTAACAATAAATTAAAAGATTTTTTTATTGCTATTTTCCTCCTCGGAGTCGCTTATTGTTCTCACCGAAATCATTAATATCTAAGGGGGAAAACATACACGGAAGCGAATTTTAGTTAAGATCTCTCCGAAAGAGAAACGGGGTGGATCAAAGTTAGATCATCTTTCTTTTTATACATCCCTCACCAAAATTAAAAGATACTGTTAGAAATTAAACATAATTTTTACTCATAGAAAAATGATTGAAAACAGTTTCTAAAGAAGCGTTATTTAAAATAAAATATACTATATCTTACAGTTGATTAATATCAAAGTATTACATTTTAAAACAGATATATTGGAATTTATGAATGATAGAAAAACATCTTCCATGTTTAACAGATAATCTTTTTTTCAGTTTGGTATATGGTTACCCCTAGGAATGCAAATCTCACATCTTGATTTCATAGAATTTACCAAAGATTTGATTAAGTCTTGTGTAATTGCATACCACTCATCTGAAAGTGCTGTTTTAGGTCCTGGATGATCTGGGGAGTTTTTTGCATCTACAATTTGGCATCCTAAGATATTTCACATATAACCAATCGGTTTCAGGTCTAACGAGTAAGCTAGCCACTTCATTCGAACCACAAGTTGTATTCTGACACCAGACATACTCGCTGCGGACGAGCATTTTTATCCAATAGCAAAGTATCTGATAAGCTGTATTTCTAAACAGCCTTACGTGTGTTTCCAAAATACTCTTCACACATCTGAGATTGATTACCCAATTTCCATCAAAGATATGTAGCTCGATGTAGCCATATTTAACGATTCCACGCCATGAAAACTGTTTCCTTAGAAAAGAGATCTTTCTTAAATAAAGGAAATCAAGTTGTACAGTCTTCACTTCCTCATGGTCAAACCACGTCTAGAATCACAATTCAAGCTAGACTCGTCAATAAACGATACATGGCCTCATTTTCCCTCGCTGTATTAAACATGACAATTATACTGCCTTTAGAACATGAAGAGACCGGAACACGCAAGCCAATGGTCTCCCCGCTTGAATTCCAGATTCGTAAAGCATTTGTTGCAACAGTAGAACGGTGGCTCTAATTCTTGTGGGAGTTCGAAGGTCTAAAATTGATTCTTTTATTAACAGGAGTCTTAACAATAGGCGTGGAATACTAAATAAGTTATAAAAAAAGGGCAACTTGTTCAGAAAGAGATCGTATTATTCCCATTTTAGCATTTAATTGGATGTATAATTTCACTCCTTAATATGCGATCCTCACAAAACACAATACTAAACAGAATGCGCGTATGAAGAAAATGAAAAGAGAGAGAATTCTAATTATGGCATTGCCTCGTGTATGAAGTTATTCCCATGGTTATCGAAATACACCATGGGAATAACTTAAAAACTAAAGATTTTTGCTGAAACGAAAACGACTAATAGTACATAAGTGATATAAAGGCTCAAAATGAGGTAATGAACGAAGTAAGAGAAAAAGAATTAACTACAAGAGCGAGTAACTGAGGAAGTATTGTGATACGTGCTGTGATGTCTTAGTCATGGGATGGTTTAAAAAGATTTGATTATATATTAAAGTAAACGTTATAAAGAAATTCGAACGCGATATCTACCAGTGACAAATTCTTCGCAAAAAAATTAAGATGTCTACTTAATTTCACGGAAATAATTTAGATCTCTGGTTACTTATTTTCTTCAAAATTTAATTGGTCAATACATTTCCATTAATTTTCAGTTAAGGAAACAAGGCTGGCGAATTTTAGCGAAGTCTTAACTTGGCAATAATTTCGGAGACGGTAATTCTTCATGAACTGCACTGATCTTTAATTTACAACTATCTCAATATTAAAGTAGGTTCACTTCAGTCGCTAATAGTTGAAACTGAAAGATTAGCCTATAGGAAATTATACTTTTCCCTATACGTGCTGTCGAAGTGTAAGTTGTAGCTAAAATGAGAAGAACGATAAATTCATCACCACTTGGCTTTGGTAGACTGAGTCTTCTTTTTCCATCTCGCATCTTTCGTTCTTCGCAAGGAACCATTGAATTCCCGCGTGCCTTCCCTTGTGGTGTAACTAGCAGCACGTGTAGTTAGTAGATGGAAGATTTGTGGCTTGAATCTTGGCGATGGCTCAGCTGATACCTCATGCCTCCAGCTTCGAAAAGCTAAATCTTTTTTTTACATGTAAAAACCCATCTTTCAATACAGTTGCTGCCAGCATTGACGCATTTCTTTCAAGATTGGATTAATTGATAGTTAAAACTCTGTATCAAGATGACTCAATGCATTAGATCCTCTATAATCTCACCTTACGTTTCGGGATGTGTTGCCACTGTACGAGATATAAGGCTCTTCAGATATGTGCTGGATTTATGGGTTATGAAAATCAAAACAACGTTCACGTGGAACATAGTAGTTACAAGAACAGAAATGACTCTATAATGGCAACCCACGTAGAGCTGACAGAAATGCTTTTTGCTTTTGCTAAAAATAGTTGATATTTTGTCCAAAAAAATATATAGCAATTACATTCAAAGGTGTTGAACAATCAGAAGGTTCTAGTATTCAGGTTGCAAAGCTTTAAATTAT